TTTCAGGCCACTTCGCCTGCTAAGAGTGCTTCTCAGTCTTCTTGCCTGTTATTGTAGCAATGCAATTAGGCAGGCGATTTGAGTGTACTTTTCTTCTTTATTGCTTGTTGAGAATGCTTCTCAACCTCTCTGTTTACCCTTACAGCAGTGGGATCAGGACGGCTATCAAAGTCAGTTCACCCTCTTACTTGGCGATCAACCGAGGAATTAGTCTGCTCTACCTTATAGAGCATTTAGTATTATTATTATTTTTATCTCACAATGTGTAATGAATATTTGATAATGAAGGGAATTATTTGAACGTACTTCGTTCTTTTAGTATTTTTTTTATCTCACAATGTGTAATGAATATTTGATAATGAAGGAAATTATTTGAACCTACTTCATTCTTGTCTTATTTATTTACAATCGTTCATGTTGATTATGTTTTTATTTGTTCACTTTCCCATAAGAAAGAAACATACTTTTTTAAGTATTTGCTATTAATGAATTTCACGTGCTTGATGTCATTTAAATCTTCTAAATGATAGACTCTATGAGGCAACACACTATTTACTTTATATGGCCCTTCCAAATTGGGCGACCATGTGCCATACTTCGGATCCTTACTATCCAAAGGGAGTATTGTTTTCCAAACCAATTCGCCCAAACTAAAGGACTTGGCTATAATTTTTTTATTGTAATTTTGTTTGATCGATTTTGCTCCTGGGTTGATATTGAGTTTGTGGACCGCAATGCTCGGATCTATCCTCGACACTCTAGGCGAACACATCTATGTTAAGGGATAGACAACTTACCAGTATCTCCATGATGTTGGCGTCAAGGTCCAGACCAATCGTCACCTTTTTGTTTGGCTCGAGCTTGACCTCTACAACCTCTTCCACTAGGGCAAGTCGACCTTCGTGCTCGGGCTGTCCGGATGACGAAATATGCATGACGTTGGAGATTATTCCCCGAACACTTGTTACGTAGCACTATCTGGCAGCTGACTGGTCCTCGTGCACTATCCTGACACCATTACTAGTAGGAAATTCACAGCAAGGTGGAAAGTAGAAACAATAGCCTTGATCTTGTTTAGCAAAGGCCTTCCCAGAAGGGCATTGTAGGCCATTGAAGCGCGAACCATCTAGAATGATGTGATCTCTGCTACCTGCTTCGGATCCGACCCCAGAGTAAGTGGGAGATTGACGATTCCATTCGAAATGATTGTACTGCCCCAAATCCCTGAAGCAGGGTTTTAACAGCTTTGGGTTGTTCTGTCGAAATCCCCAATCCTAGAGTATGCCTCATAAGAGAGCACGTTGGCAACGCTCCATTGTCAACTAGTATCCTCTTCACCTCAAAATTGGCTATGATTGCTAATATGACCAGTGCATCGTCATGTGGATGTAACAGACCTTCCAAGTCCTGTAACCCGAATGTGATTTCTTCCATATCATCAGGCGTCATCCTCAAGCTCGAGCTATACTGTCTGGCATACTGCTTGCGTCCATTGTTTTAGTCTCCTCCTGATGTTATCCTCCCAACAATAATGTTAATTGTTCCTGTAGTAGGCTTGTCATTCTTTTCGCTCTTATATGGATGATAAAAAAATTCGACAAACCCGATACGTTCGGGGCGGGGATAACCCGCTTAATCGGGTAACAAGGGCCCCGCCCCGTTAATTTTTTTTTTAATTCAATACTTTAAATGAAAATTTTCATTAGTTCTAATAAAAAATAACAACTAAAATTATTTGTCTAAATCTAATGAATATGAGTAATAAAAATAAATTCCATCAGAATGTTAGACCTGGAAGTGTTCAATAAAGTTCGCGACATTGGCTGTATCTCATTCTTCTGCTTATTCTTGTTAGCCTCTGGAGAAGGATTAAAATCGTGCTGCCTTTTGTGTTCGGGTTTCTCAGAGGTCGGGTTAGAATTTTTCCTCGGGTACAAAGTTTCCTCCACATTGATGTATTTTTCTGCTCGGGTAAGTAGCTCGGTCATGGATTTCGGTGGGTTTTTTGAGAGGGATATCTTGAAGGCATCACCCCCTTATAGCATATGTGAAGATGGAGATTACGTCTATTATATGAAAGTCGGGCATCTGAAGCATTTCCTTGTTGAACCTGGTCATGAAGTTACACAGGGATTCATTAAGTTCTTACCTGAGCTGCATGAGAGATGTGGCGGTCTTCTTGATGTGCTTGCTACTAGCAAAGAAAGCGGAGAGCCTGTCAGCCAAGTTAGAGAAAGAAGCAATAGAATTGGGCTCTATGGTAGAAAACCAATCCCTGGCAACATTGGTCAGTGTTTGCGGAAAGGCTTTGCACATTACGGGATCTCTGGTGCCACCTGTAGGTTCATGACATCCGTATACACATTGAGATGGTTGAGAGGGTCAGTTGTTCCATCATACTCCTTCATCCGGAGAAGTTTAAACTTGTCTGGGAGCGGATAGGAGAGCACTTCTGGCGTGAAAGGAGTGTTAGGGGTAAACCCCGTTGTTCCTTGGGTGCTCTTTTGGAGTCCAGCAGTGATTCCATCCTGTATGCTCTTAGCTAGTTCGCCTGAGTCCATAGTGACTAACCATGAGGCTGAGGCTACATGCTGCACACCCTAGGCGGTATCGTCCTTGGGCAGCTGGTACTGTAGATGATTCTCCTTGATGAGTTGGAGGCTCCGCAAATTATGGTGGGTTTAGTGCGGATGAATTTGCTGGAGGAAGACCTGAACGTGTGTTGACCATAGCTTTTGGTAGTGCTTCCCACAGACGGTGCTAATGATTCTATCAAAAATCGTACTTGTCGACTTCCGAGCTTGACGACTGAGAATGAGTACGAACGAGGTCTTCCGATACCTGAAACAAAGGCGTCGAGGTGTGTCCTCGTCGCCCCTCCGATGCTTAAGTCAGAGTAAGAAAATATGAAAAGAGTATATGCTATAAATCTTGTGTAAAAACATACCTTAACAATGAATGAGGGTGATATATTTATAGAGGTGGGTGGTTGAGTCCTGGTAGGACTGTTATGTTGAGATTCTTATGAGTTCTAGTGCAATTGGAAGCTATTGTTTAGTTAATCTGGTGTTTCTTGGGTGTTTGGGTAGGGATAGGACTCCCATTGTAGAATCAATTCAGGATTGGACGGTATGTGGCAAGTAGGATCTCATTCTTGGGTATGGAAAAGTCTCGATATCTTATCTCGGGTGCTCATGAAGCCGAGGAGAATATCCCGAGGAGATCAAGATACTTGGGCACAAAATAAGGGCTATACTCCTCGGGAAACCTGATTGACGTCTGCTTCCCGAATTTGGTGTGATCAGTTCCCAATCCCTATATATACTTCTTTCTGTAAGCAATAGTTTTATTTTCCAAAATAAGAATTCACGCGTCTCCCCAGATTTCTATCACATACAAATAGATATCTTTTCTTCAAGAATCTTGAACATGAAACAAATTCGTGATTATACTTCTGAGTAATATGTATATCTACATATTACCAAGAAAGACAAAGAATGCTTTACATATGATAAGCAATCCTCGACCTCACTTCAGATTGATATCAAATTTACTTGCGATCTTACACTCTGTAAGAAAGTGGTACGTCGAACAAGATGAAGAGCCTTGAAGAATGTAAACAACCCAAAATATCAACTTTTTTTTGCATCAAATATGAGTTCTTATGCTATTGCAAGACTCGTGAAATCATTCATAAAGCTATAAGTACTTTGCCTATCTGGGATTGACGGTGTAAGATTTGATCGAGGATATACAAGGGAAATTGTTACATTAGTATCCCGAGCGGGAATTAATTTTGCATATCTATATGAAGATTGTTATTAATAGTATTTTTTATGATAAATATACAGCGGAGGTGACATGATATGCTTGGACGAGTTTTCTAAAGGGTCCATAACAACATGTATGACGTGTTCACGTATGTTTCACGACAATTACATCAACCAATGGTCAAGGACAAATCATTATCGTTCAGTATGTCGATTTGAAATGTCAACTAGTTACATAGTTTATATATGATTCAATAGTAAATAAATTATTTCGTATTGAAAATTAGAGAATGTATCAAAGATAGTCAAAATCATAATTCTAGTCATCTATCAATAAATTGAAATTTTTTATTCTCAATTCTAGCTTTTGACAAAAAGTAACATATTTACTTACTATTTTTGTTTGAGCAATAAAACTAAAACTTAGTTCAATCCTAGCTCAACAAGGACCGGATTGTGCTAATCAGTAATCTAATAGTGACAAAGAATGGACACCGGGTTCGACTAAGCTTAAACCAGTACTTATAAGTAAATGACTTTAGTCCCTTGTACGGGGAATATTGCCGGGGCAGCCTACAAGGAATGAGATGGCAAAACCTAATTGGACGTTTTAAATTTGTTTTTTTCTTTTACCAAACTCCAATAAAATATTGTCATTTGACAACCCGTAACTCTATCCGATAAATCTCTGTGTACGCATAGCATGATTCTAAGTAAATAAGTAATGTTTAAACTAAATAATTTTTTTATACTTCCAAGATTTAAAATTGGAAACAAGTCAATAACTCTTTCAAATAGGTTCATCCATCCAGATATTTGATTTAGTTTATGCTATTTCAAAAGAATATCGCTATGGATGGCAACATAGTGAAGCAGAGAAGGTCTTCTAGTCGCAACGGGTGATTTTTTGGTGGTGAGGTAGAATTCAAATATATCTATTTACCGTGATTGCATAACCCCGTGATATCTCATCAAATTGGAAAATTCCCGTCCCATTCAAAGTTGAGCAATTCAAGGCATGCCATTTTACCTACTAAAAATATGATGGACATTGCTTTCTAATAATTATTTTAAAGTTTACACCTACTTTGCAATAGGGTAACCTATAGGTGGGAAGGAAACAAATTTTACTTGAACTGCTTTAAAGCTTAGCCAAACAAGGTCGAAAGACAATCGCAATGAACCATCATAATTGACATCCATACGCAGCTCCGACTGGCACCCGAAAACATGCATTTGGGGAGTTTTATCAACCGGGCATCTCTTTTCTTTCTTGGTCTTGCCTCCTTGTTATACTACAGATATCTTCCTGCAAGAAATATGGCCCAAGAATCCACAAATTCCATTTATGAATTCACTGTCAAGGTAATTATCAAATTTGCTGTTTCTTATCATGGTTTTCTTTGTTTATCGGTCTGTATCTCTGTGTCATGTGTGAGAAATTGTCCTTTTTTCTTGAATTATGTTTTTTTTTTGGCAATCTATTATTCATGGTTTCTCAATATTTAATTTATTAAATGTTTTTGATAAACAAAATTATTATTGATGCAAGAGCATTTGCCCTAAAGACGGCTTTTTTGTAAGATAACAGAACGAACAGCCATTAGGATGATTACACGCAAAAATTTCAGGAGAAAGATCACACTTCTGGAAACGGTTAGGCACATTAGGTAGTACTAGATAAAGTATGAAAAATGATAGCTAAAATGTAGTCAATTATACTTTCGAGTCTTGTCCAATCTTGTTCATTGGCATGACAAACACACTCTCTGTGTTCAGAGTTCTTATCAGCTCCCTGAGTTTTTGCAATTTTCATTCAAAGAGAGGGAGAGAACATTCGATAATTATTCAAGCAAGTTTTCAAATAATTGATCTGCAATGCTACTCCAAAAGAATATGCTAAAAAATTTTGCAATTCCTATTCAATCTCCATAGCAGCTAGTAATTTGAGGGTGCTTAGTGCTAACTCGATATTAACATTTTCCAGTTAAACAAGTGATAAATTGTAACCTTTGACCACATAATGTTTGGCTAAGCTTTAAAAGCTTAATCGTAAGTAGATAAAAAAGTTTTTAAATTTTTTTTTTTTTTTTAAATTCAAAGAAAGCTGCTTACTTTGACATTGAGGTAAGAGATACATTTGAAAAATCAATTTTGCCACTTAAAGAGTAAGACAAAAGTAACTTATCCACTTTTAAGCTTAGCCATACCTGCTTTAAAGGCATTTTGCTTTTGCACCATAGATATGTTTGCTGATTGTTTCGATTGTTTCCACCATATTTATTATTATTATTATTTCCAAAACAGCCTTGATTCTCAAGAGTTAGGTATTTCACTTGTTTGTTCTGTAGGTAATTGTCCATTTAGGAGAATGATCTTTTTCTCGTGGTGTTGGTTAATTTAAATTAAATTACAGGATGTCCGTGGAAATGATGTGCCATTGAGCAATTACCAAGGGAAGGTTCTTCTCATTGTGAATGTTGCTTCAAAATGGTAAATGATATCACCTGTTTCTGGTTTGAAACTATTAGGCAATTTTGTTTGAATTCTATCGCCGTTACTGTTCTAATAAGTTATATTTCTGATTTTCTCCTTTATGCCCATTCTCTTCGAGTTTCACTTACAAGTTGCATCTTCAATATCGCGCCCATATAACTTAATGAGCATACTAATTCAGATAGACATGGTGCTAATAGAATTGCACTGAGAATAAATTCATATAATGAAGTAATTTGGATATGAAATTTTGGAAATTTAGTATGGAGGAAAATAGAGTACTCATGACTCGTGAATTATAACCATATTGGAGGCTTGCAATGATAGAATTACGTCTTCTTAGCTCAACCTGAATCAAGTTGCTAAGAGATTTTTCAGCCTCTGAAATCAAGATTCAACTTTTGGTTTTCATATAAGTTAAATAAGTAGCAGAGTTTTACTTGATTGTTGATTTCGAAAATAACAGTTTCCTTTTCTTTTCTTTTTCCCCTTCATAAGTTGGTACACAATGCCACTTCCTTCTATATTTTCCGAGAATGAGAATTCGATATATGACCTGTTCGATGCTGCCACCTGTAGTCAAATGATGCATAATTATTTTTGTGACAGAGGAATAGCTCATAGCTGCCGATCTACCTCATGACTGGATAAATAAATTTTTATTTTTTGAGTCTGAATATTGAAAGCATATCGCACTGAATCAATTTTTTTTAGAATGAGTTGAGGCGGGCATAGGCATTATTGGAGAAGAAGCACTAGATTGGTGTTTATGATCAATGCTAAGAGCTTTGAGAATGCAACGGGACCTTCATAAAGTTGATTGTTATGAGTGTTATATGGCACGTTGAGAATATTATGACCAATTTAGTTGCAAACCAGTGCAAGGTTTGCAATCTAACATAAAATACTCTAAAGAGACAATTAGGTATTTTTAACATTGCGTGTGAAATTTTCTATAGGAAATGATTTCTTGGCCATACGTAAAACAGTAGGACGACAGGAACTTGATTATAATTGTTTTATGAAATACATTCCCTTGGCAAGTTGTATCTTAGGTTTGGTGATGCCTTTTCTTTGATCTTTGTTTTATGCCAATTGGATAATGTCATTCTTCTTAGATGATCTTCTTGCTTTATGGCTATGTTTCTTCTTTACTTACCTTAAAAAGATATTTGCGTTTCCTTTAGCTTAAAAAACTTAGAACCATAATCTCTTCATTCTTCCTTTTTGCAGTGGTTTAACACTGTCAAATTACAAAGAATTAAATATTTTGTACGAGAAGTATAATGACCAAGGTATGTTAACCATTTTTAACATTTCAGAGCTTTCACCACATGTTTTTATCTTCATCGGTGGGTTCTTTGAGGCATACGTATTGCATACATTTCCTCTCAGGTTTCGAAATATTGGCATTTCCTTGCAATCAGTTTGCCTGGCAAGAACCAGGAACTAATGAGGAAATTCAAGAAGCCGTTTGCACAAGGTTTAAAGCAGAATTTCCAATTTTCGAGAAGGTATCACTTTCTAAGTTAGATTATTGAATTACATATTTAGCCCCTGTTTGAGTCTCGTTTTCTAAAATTCATTTTCATCCTCACATTCTTTCAATGAAATGATTTTGCATGTTAGACCAAAATTTTTTTTCCTACTTTTTAACCACACATCCTCCAAAAAATTACTATTCCAAAACTCATTTTTCACAAAAAATGGTGCTCAAACAGAGCCTTAATAACCTAGAAATAATTAGTAACATCATATTACAAAAACTGCCCATTAGCATTGCCATTAATTTGTTTCTTAGTGGAGAGATTTTATGACTCTTTGACACCGTTAAATTCCTGTTACCATTAACGAAGTTTGAAAAATAAAATTTCTAACACAATCTCAAAGGGAGATATGTGCCAAGCAGGAGGATTATAAATTTTTCTCGACTTGCTTTTTTTTGCTTGGAGTATTATCAAATTGTCCTAAAGATCATTTATTCTCTCTTTTTGCTGTTTCTCGATTTTTTTTTTCACCCAAGTAATATACTGGATGAAACTATAAACAAAGTATCTTTCACGATATCCTAGGTTGATGTCAATGGGAAGAATGCAGCCCCACTCTACAAGTTCTTAAAATCGGAAAAGGGCGGTTTGCTTGTAGATGCTATCAAGTGGAATTTTACAAAGTTTCTGGTGAACAAGGGAGGAAAAGTTGTGGAGAGATATGGTCCTAGGACCCCGCCTCTTGAAATCGAGGTAGGACAGTTTGTTCATTTTCTTTCACTAGTCATGTATTTCCTTGTGGAGTGTTGGTGGCACTAAATTTGGATGAAATATGTTTACCAATCTGACATTGATTCTGATGGTACATACTTGTTTAGCAGACTTTTTGCCGAAAGCCTTCCTATTACTCGAGTCTTGAGTCGCTTACCAATTAATTTTCGATTAACAAGGATAATATAAGATGCACTTGAACATGTTTGGCTAAGCTTAAAAAGTAAACTAGAGGTAGTTTTAAGTAAATATTTGTTTACAAATATGGTTAAATATTTTACCTTTTACATTCTTATTAGTTAAGAAAGTTACTCATTTTGATAGTAATCCAGGGGTTACTTTTCATAATAACTTGTTCCAATTTTGATAAACAAAATTCATGAACCTAACTTATTTGCTTTTAAGTATATTTACTTTTGTTTCTGCTTTAGCTAAACATGCACATCAGGAAATGCTAGAGACAACTTCAGATTTTGTTTACATAGATTTTGATTTTCTGTGGAAGTAATTTTGATCCCAATTAGGTTTGTATCTAATTGTTCTTTTCTTCCATTTTTCCTCGCGCAGAAAGACATACAAGATGCTTTGGGCTTACCTTGAGCACCCGGTTCTGCTTTTGCTTTCCGGTTTCAGTTATGCTAATCATTTCTATTATTTATTTACATCAAGATTAGATACACATCTTTCTTGAAAGAGAAGATAGGGAAACTTTTACCTATTCTTTTCTCTTCCATTTCGTGGCCAATTGAGTTTCCCTAAAGAGGAAAGGGCAGGACCACTTGACCCTTAGATCATATAGAGGCAGAAAGGTGTAAGTTCTTTGGCAACTTGTTTGGCTTATAAGTCGTGGGATCCACAGTAGTTTGCATATTGGTCCGCACAATTCGTGGGTCAGAGATTAAAAATTAAATTGGACTAAGGTAATTAATAGAGCTATTTGGTGTCATCACAAGTTATCACATTCGTTCTTGAATATTAAAAAAAAAAAAAAAATTCATAAAAGGGTTTTAGTAGGATTTGAGAACGCATTTTAGACTTGTTATGATACAATTTTAAATCGCTTCGTTTTAAATTTTGAAATATTAGAGATGATCATCTCTAAAACAAATTCATATCGAATTGTTCATATAGTTCCGTATTTCAAAAAAAATCAAAATTTTTTAAGCGCAATAATCGGCCCAAGCGCTATTTTTACTTATTTGATCTTGATCCTTGTGGAGCGAAAGTGAGACTAGACTGGATCTGCACGGCCCTCGTAATAATATCCATAAATGACTTGTTTTTGGTAATAGATGAACATTACCATATGTAAATTCAGAGAAGATCTTATCATGAGTGATTCGGGAGATTTGGATTCATATAGATATCCACTACATTTATTTCGAAAGTTGACAAAAAAGTTGAGAAATAGTATGTACGACTATTCAAATAATGCCAATTTATTTATTTAAATTTTATCATCCCTACAATTATCTTATTGAAGGTTGGGTGGGGGTTGGTGTTGATCATTATTTTGGAATTTTGTTTATCCATAACAAGATGCCAATCCAATGGCTAATAATGTAAGGTGCAAAATGCTCCAATCCAACTTGGCTTGTAAAATATGAGTTTGGTAGCGAAGGGTGCTATTAAAATTCATTAGCTTTAAGAACTCTCTCTCACAAGCTCTTTGTCCTGTAGTTTCTCGACCGTTGCTATATCAGTGATGCATTCTAAGATTCTTCATACCACATTTGTCGTCATTTTCAACTTCTATCACGAGTCAAAAGTTTCTCAAAAAATGTCTCGTTCTTTAATTTGATGATTAGACCGAAGGTATGTTACTAGTACAGTCAACTTATGATTGTAAAAAAACGAACATTCCAAAGAAACCGACCAAATCCTCTGAAAAAAAAAAAAGACCGAAAAAGACAAAAAAAAAAAAAAAAAAAAAAAAAAAAAACGAACAAAAAAAAAAAAAATGTGGTATAAATCAAAGAATTTACCAAATATATTTTTTTCTCTTTGGAAATTATTTATCAACACAATTTTGTTAACTAGGATTAGATATGATTTTTTTATTAATCTCACTTATCAGTAAAACTACTTAATAAGTAGGGGTGGTAGGTGGAAATATGGTCAATATTCCCTCGCCAACAATAACCAAATTAGATGCTTTGTGTCCATTATAACAAGGGAACTTTAATTTGGTATCAAGTAGGGTCAAGTGAGGGATATGTTTTTATTTTTAATTTCACCATTAGTGGAGGATGAAGTGTAATTATTAGTTTCATGCAATTTTAATATAAATTAATGGAAAATAATATGCCATGCTATTTGTAAATACGACCTATATAATTGCGGATTTAGCTTCAGGGTGTGTTTGATGAATACTATTTAGGAAATAATGTATTTTAAATAGTGATACGATGAGAAACATGTGGTTAAAAAGTAAGAAAAAGTTGTTGATGTGATGAAAAATATTATTTTATTGAAAAATGTGTAATTGAAAACGAGTTTTGAAAAAATTGTGTACGAAACAGGGGCCGAGTGTCCGTTTTGACTGATTCTATAGTTGAAGCTAATGATGCCATAACTTAACTTGCCCCACCTTTAGTTTTTGTAATAAATTATCTCGAGATAATAAAGAATTTCGCAATTGAGTTTACTTATTCGTACAAATGGTACTTTGAACTTGAAATTTGCATGAAGAAATTTGAGTTAAAATTATTTTACTACTTATCTATAAAAATTGTGCACACTTTAACTAAAAAGTAAATTCTATAAATATAAGAGAGATGTGTTAGATAAACACTTTTACCGTTTAAGCTTATTGATAACTAGGTCGTGCTAATATTATTCATGTTATTTTGGAGCCAAATTCAAATAGAAACAAAAAGGTGGAATGCGGAAAATATCGTAAAATTGTTAAAGATCGCGTAACAATTATTGATTATAATTGATAAAATCACCACAAATGATCCAAGAACGAGACATACACGTAGCTTAGAAAAGGAAAAATAGAAAAGCCATGAAAAAAAGCAGCTGCTAAAATTACCAACACTCATACAACCTAATATCCACACGCAGCCTAAAATAAACATCCCCTTCAAATGCATCTGTCGACACAGTAGCCACCCCTCTAGCCATGAAGAAATCACCAGTTCCACCAATTACTGAAATGTCCCTGGTTTTGTTCATCAATGGATCGGCTCCAGCAAAATTTAGTGTTCCAACATAATCAGTAGAATTGAACAAAAATGAAAACCCAAGCCATGCACCGTAAGTACTCCACTGATCGTATAAGTACATGCCCTGAGCTCGTCCGACTGGAGGTGAATGCAGGTTGTTGTCTAAGGTAATTGGATCATCAAACACAACCAAGTCACCGAAATTGAATGGCTTAGCCATGGCAGTCTTGTTTCCCCAGTTAGGAGAGCCTACTATGACAGCAGTGGCATTTTTGTAATTATATCCTAGGTAGAGGACGTCGTGGAAGTAGAAAACGAGCTCTTTGCAAGGGCGGCGCGACCGGGGTTTGCCGCCGGAGGTGGTGGAGATGCAAATTAGGAGGCAAAGAAAAAGGGCTCTGGTATGGGTTTTATCAGCCATTTTTCTGCAGTGATGAGGAGCTGCTTAGTGGGTGCTCATTATATAGTCTTGAGTTTGGTGATTCATTGGGTATTCTTTTTATATAAAGTAGATGACTTTTCAATATTGCCAACTATTGTTAGGTAGTCTACAATTATTATTTGGAAATAAACATTTTTTTCTTTTTATTATTAAATAAATATTTTTGCTCTTTTACGTGGACTTAATCATGACTTATATGTCAAAGAGTCTCATCTAGAAGTTTAAACTATTAAAATGATCCATTTTTAGTTTTCAACGTGTTCCTTTACCGCAATTCAAACTCCATTTTTCTTTTATAAAAGACATGTCTACAATTTTGATATTTTAATACCGACTTGCTTGCTATAATACTAGATTGAATAACTCCCTTGTTGTAATACTCTAAACATGGTACTCCCTTGTTCTATTATTTTTTAATTTTCAATAAATTTGATAGCTTAGGCTCGTGCCTCGAAGAAGAAAAAGGCCACCAACCCCCCAGCTGAGCTATTAAACAAGTCTCTCTAGAAGCTTATGTGTGTCTCTGTGTGTGGGGGGGGGGGGGGGGGGGGGGGGGGGGGGGGGGGGGGGGGGGGGGGGGGGGGGGGGGGGGGGGGGGGGGGGGGGGGAGGGGGGGGGG